GAGAAGTATACTCTTGCAAACCATCTCTTCTGGGGCTTATGGGGAATAATTTCGGTATGTATTTATTTCCCAGAACTTGCATTTATATTGTTTAGACTGTGGCATGATGGACTAATTCTGGAACTGATTTTCACAGGGTCATGTAAACAAGATAGACTTTGACTATATGGAGTATGCAAGGCAGAGGTTTGAGCAGTACTGGTCGAGAAAGCCCTTGCTCATGGGTTCCTGAGGCCATTTTTCATGAAGAAGAAAGAAGAAATCTTAAGTTCTGCTTAAGATTGACAAAATACTTGACATGTATAATGAATGGTGGAGCAAGTTTAGATATACAGAGTGGGAAGGATGCAAAATAGAATAGTATGTATTAAAGCATTGGGAGGGTTCATGGTTTGATGACTTAGATCCCTATGTGAAATAACATCCTTCCTCTTCCCTTTGCCTCCCTATTTATCTTGTTTACAGTATATTAGCTGATTTACACAGTTTTTGTCTCACATAACATTATATTGATTTTCATATAATAGGATTACAATCATAATTTGTTATTAAAATAACTTTTTTTAACATATATTTTGTTTCTTTTCTAAATTTAAATACTTATTCATAATATTATATATATTTATTTATTTAACACAATGCAAACCATTTAAATTCTTGAATCGTTGATAAATATCTCTAAGAAACAGCCAAAGATAAACTTTCTCAGAAATTATCTGTTCAATTTTTTGTTTTTTATTTATAAAAAGAATCACCAAGAATCACAAATAGGGTTCAAGAGACCTATTTGAATCAAGAAAAAAAAAAAAGGTGGGGTTCACAGCGGCTTCTTCCTTCCTCTGTTCAATGTCTGCAACATCTTTTTATCGGATCTTCCCCCAGAACTCCTTTACCAAATTTTCGACCAGAACTTGGACTTCAATGATCTCGTCATGTGGTTTAGTGTGTACCCTTTGGCAATCTCTTATCAAATTGGTTTATCATCGCCACAAGTCCACTGCTCCTGGGTTATGGTTGCTTCCACCCAAGATTGATCGGAAAAGACAATACTGCCGGATCGTTAACACCTTGTGAGGCAAAACCCACCAAATTTTCCTACCGGAAATTCAGGGGAGATGGTTCACCCCAGCCTGCCACGGCTGGCTCCTTACGACTCCAAAAGACAATAACCAACCGCATTCAATTTATCTTCTCAATCCTTTCACCAGAATCAGAGTCAAGCTGCCATGGGATAAACAATTCAGGACTCCTGAATCATCAGGAAATCCAGAATTCAGCACGGTCCGGTCGATCCCCAC